TTGAATGGAAAACACAGACAAAGCTAGGAAAGATTTTTTGTTTGAAAATTTTTGCAAACTTACATCATTACACTGTAAACAGTAATACATATGATCATTGGCCCACCATGTCCAATATTCTGCTTCTGACAAGTGCCAGTACTGATCCTGATGCTTCCAAGAAAGGTTGAGCAGTGTTGTGTATGGGGAAAAAATTCCATCCTAAATCCTACAAGCTATCGGTATAGGCTCTGAAGCATGACATTAATTTATTATCTTTAAAATCTCATGATTTTTAAGCCAGTCTAATTTTGTTTGGGTCTCAACTCATGATTTTTGAATGTTTGGGGTTGGGAACAATTGCTTAACGACCTCCTACAGCAGTGAATTCTAGACATTAACTGTATTAAATAGTATCGCCTTTAACTTGTTCTAAGTTGGCCAGCTATTCTTTTCACTGAATTACTCTTGTTCATATGAAATGCAGACATGTCAAGTCTCACTCCCTGGGTGTGAGACTCACTCATTAGCATGCTATCTCACTCTCACACACATTACTAAGCTTATCTCACTCATTTTGAGTAAATATATAAAGATTTAAAATATTTTTACTTAGGCACTGAAAAAGACAACAAACAGTGTCTGTAGGTTTGGTCACAAAGCAGGCTGTACAGACGCTGGAAGAGCAAGGGGATATTAGTCCTCTTGCAAATTGGACTTTTTTTTGTGCAGCCAGAGCATTCTATACTAGTGTAGCTAAGTATGCATGTGAGAAGCTACTTTTAATGATGAAATGTTAAAGATGGCAGCATTTATGAACTTTGATATTAGAGAAAACTGCACTTTTGAACAGGTTGTGCACTTTGTTGACAGATACCAGCACATGTTTAGTCTCTCTCCACCTGAGATAGAGAAGCGGCAAGAGGAGTTTGTTGATTACCAGTTGATGCAGAAGTCAGATATCCTTCAGTGGGTTGAGGCAGCACTATAGACTTACACAGATAATGCTACTGTGCAATACAGGATGGAAACTGAGCGGGCATATCTTAGCAATGTCAAAAGCCCTAGTGGTCTTCTCAAGTTTCCATTGCTGGCCAGGGTTGCTAGCCTTGTCTTAGTTTTACCCCACTCAAATGCAGAAGAGAGAGTGTTCAGTCTTTTTCAAAAGAGTGAGGCACCATTCAGACCAAACGTTGGACTAGATGGGACACTGTGCTCCATTATCTAAGCGAGGCTGGCAAATCCCGAGCCATGTTTCAAAACAGCAAAGGGGCCTATACGGCAATATAACAACGCACATGAATAAAACGTTAAACCAAATTAGGTATTAAAAGCAATGTGGAATCTGAATCCTTTATCTATGATTTGTTAGCTTCAAATTAATTACATTCAATTTAATTACTTTATTTATTTTTACATTCATTTAATGTATTGTTTGGTTGCATTTTACTTTATTTAATACATTTATTTAATTTTCTTTGCATTTATTTATTTTGGAATCTAATTATTTTAGTTTGTTATAAACGTAATATGAGCAATAATATACACATCAAATAACTGTCCTGTAAAGTGGGGTTTTTTTTCGAACAGATGATTACTCTGACAAGAAGAAAAGGAGTACTTGTGGCACCTTAGAGACTAACAAATTTATTTGAGCATAAGCTTTCGTGAGCTACAGCTCACTTCATCGGATGCATACTGTGGAAAGTGTAGAAGATCTTTTTATATACACACAAAGCATGAAAAAATACCTCCTCCCTCCCCACTCTCCTGCTGGTAATAGCTTATCTAAAGTGATCACTCTCCTTACAATGTGTATGATAATCAAGTTGGGCCATTTCCAGCACAAATCCAGGTTTTCTCACATTGTAAGGAGAGTGATCACTTTAGATAAGCTATTACCAGCAGGAGAGTGGGGTGGGAGGAGGTATTTTTTCATGCTTTGTGTGTATATAAAAAGATCTTCTACACTTTCCACAGTATGCATCCGATGAAGTGAGCTGTAGCTCACGAAAGCTTATGCTCAAATAAATTGGTTAGTCTCTAAGGTGCCACAATAACTCCTTTTCTTTTTGCGAATACAGACTAACACGGCTGTTACTCTGTACTCTGACAAGGTAATAGGCAAAAAAAATATTGCTGTACTGATAAAAGTTTGCTTTTTTGTTAGGTTTATATAAAAACAGTTTATTTTTTAAATATTTATCTAACTATTTAAATAAGCTTTATTAACTCTGGTCCTCGAGGATCTCCAACCATCCAGGTTTTTGTTGCAACTAGCAAATAATTGTTTTTATTAAAATCCACTGGTTTGCACTGAATACAGAATTCCTTTGTGTCCTAGACTTTAGTATGTATTAGGACATTTAAGTGTTTCATATACAATATTAAGCAGTGTACATTTGAAAACAAACTATTAAGTGCTGTTTGGATTAAAAACCTGTACTATTCAGGGCTGGCTCTAGGCACCAGCAAACCAAGCACGTGCTTGGGCAACATTTTTCAAGGAGCGGCACTCCGGCCCTTTTTTTTTTTTTTTTTTTTTTTTTTGCGGGGGGGGGGGAATTCTCACTCTTTGGCCTTGAATCTCACTCTTTCGGGTTGTAAATCTCACTCTGAAGGACAGCCGACCCATGGCATCTCTGATGATGTGATAGGGTAAAAGGAAAGATGGATCACACTTCAATATATCCTTCATAATTTTGGATCCCTTTAATTGTTCTCAAACAGGACTGACTATGTGTTGTATACTGTATCTAGTTCACTGAAAGTGAAGGGGAAAAAATACAAAGTTTTGCTATTTCCAAATTTTCTCTAAGTTCCCTGTATACATTTTTCATTTCTCTTTAAGAGCTTTTGCAAACTGCTATTAGTTTTTTACAGGATCACTCGTGGAGGGCTTTGCCTATGTCAGGAATAAAAATGCACCTCATGTGGCAGCTAGTCAATATCTGTCTCAATTCAAACTGCCACTTTTTAGCAGAAGGACTGTGCATGGGATGTTGTATATCCCCTGGGGAAGCCATAAAGAATACTCACCTATGATTAACCCAGTCAGCTTCTTGATAGGTAAACTGAAATGGCTTTATTAAACATAAGATAGCAGCTCTTAAACACTGATGCATGAACTCCAGGTTCAGTTCACAAGAACTTTCTGTGGTTTTCCCTGCATCTCTATGAGCCTTGCCCCTTACCCTTGCCTCTGCTGAGCTCTCATCAGTTACTTTCCCATAAGGGGAGAGAGGGGCTATGACTGGATGGTGACTGGGAGAAAGAAATCTGAGAGTTTACTTTAGAGTGCTGACTAACTCCTTTGGGATTTTAAGAAATGCCAAGTACTTACAACTTCCATTGAAGTCAAAGGGAGCTGTGGGGATCTGCACCTGTGAAAATCCAGTCCTTGGCTCTTAAGGCCACAAAATATTATGTAAGAACTTAAAACGTACAAGTAAATTGTAATCAGCGAGACAATAACTTCTTGGCAAGAAAACTGACTGGATTGGGTGGGGGTGGAATTCGGTAGGTAGGCAGTAAATGGGTTCAAGCAAATTGGCAAATGTAATTAGCAGAGCAGCCCAGAGCTTGATCCTTGGGCCAATACTATTTAACATTGATATAAATAACCTTGGAGAAAGCAATACATTATATGACTCTGTAATTTCCTCACATCACCTGCAGGAAGAATAGTGGATACCACTGAGGACAAACTGCAGCTACAGGAGGATAGGAACAGATGAGGGGTAGAGAGGGAATAGTATCAGATAGTAATTTAATGTTAGAAAAGATAAGATCTCACATTTGGCAAGAATAATGAGATGCGGTGGGTGGAAGACAGTAATAGAGATGAACTGGAATTAAATAGAATTGTCCTGGCATAAACTAAAATGGAAACAAATCAAAGAGCTGAGGATAATATGAAGGTTAGAGCATAATATAAGGTAGCTGTTATACAAGGGGGTTAGCAATTGAAAAAAAAAATCTAAGATGCACATATTGGGAACATGGTAAGAGTACAGACAAAATTGACAGGTTTCAAGTTTCTAAATCCACACTAAGACTGCGGCTCTTTACCCCCCTCTAGTAAGGAGACAATTAAGAGATTAGGAGCACTTGTGGCACCTTAGAGACGAACAAATTTATTAGAGCATAAGCTTTCGTGGGCTCCAGCCCATTTCATCGGATGCATAGAATGGAACATATAGTAAGAAGATATATATATACACATACAGAGAAGGTGGAAGTTGCCATACAAACTGTAAGAAGCTAATTAATTATGCCTAATTAAATATGGTAACTTCTACCTTCTCTGTATGTATATATATCTTCTTACTATATGTTCCATTCTGTGCATCTGATGAAGTGGGCTGTAGCCCACGAAAGCTTATGCTCTAATAAATTTGTTAGTCTCTAAGATGCCACAAGTCCTCCTGTTCTTTTTGCGGATACAGACTAACACGGTTGCTACTCTGAAACCTGTAATTAAGGGATTAGCATATGCTACTATCTCCAAGGCAATGGTAAAGGTAAACAGCAGAGGCTCCACCAGTCCTGGAAGATGGCTCATGCAGGGGACTGACATCTACGGTAGAGCGAGAGCTTCTCTAAGCCCTAATGGTATAAGCATGATATTTACATTTCAATTTGTTTGGTTGGGCAGTGGATCATGGATTCTACAGTCCTGCTGCTGGACAAAAATAGAGGTTACTGCACTGGGTTGTATAACGAGATTATAGAAACAGGTTGTGTCATGGAGAGAACTTTGTGAGGCCTGATAGGGAGCAGCTGGTGGCAAAAAAAAGAAGTCCTGCAGGAGAGTAGCCAACTACAGGACTTAAGGCTATAAGTATATTTTGTTTTGTAGTTTCATTTTTAAAATGACTTTTTTTTCTTGTATATGTATTTATCCAGAATAACGTGAAACATGAACCTTCTTGCAACAAACCATATGTCCTGAATATTAAAAACAATGGCCCATACAAGTGTTGCAACATGTCAAGGTGCAATGATTTCTCTCACTGCAGGAGATGCTGTCTATAGCCAAACTGCTTCAGTGCGGCATGCTGAGGCTTGTCAATGGAACAGAACATGCAGAGGAGACAGATGACTGGTACAAGAGAAGATGAGAGAGACAATGAGGCCTGCTGAAGATGTGAAAGAAGATAAAAATCAGAGATAGAGGGGATGGAAGAAAAGATTCAGTTTTCGGGATTGAGAGAAAAAAGACAATGGAGAGCGGGTGAGAAATAATGGAAAAAGGAGAGCAAATAAAAACAATACAAGGAGAAAAGGAGTGAAAAAGAAGATGTAGATAAAAAGAGGAAAGGTAATGATACTATTTATCCTACCAGAAAAGTCTCATGTCAGTTGCATAGCCATTAGAAAAGCCAGCTTAGCTTCTGGGAAGTGGCAACAATTGCAGTAATTGAGACCCAGCATACCCAAATTAAGGCTGGAGACCTGAGGGAAACCTGAAAAAGAAAAAGGAGGGAAAATAAGTAAAGGTGTTCCTGAACTACATCTACTTCTCAGAGAGTTTTCCAGGAAAGTAACCTAAACTCTCCTTATATCTGGAGTTTCAAATCCTACAACAAATTGAACCACCCTCTTGTATCTTCTTTCCTCCCTCCTCCCAGTTCAGTACATTCTGCAACAGTAGTGGCAGCGTCTGCCTTGATTTCCCCATCACAGTTGGGTTGCTAGACCTAATAGGGGCTTATGAAGCATGCACTTCACGCACATTCAAAAAAGAAAGCAAGCTTCTGTTATGTAACCTTGTCCATTCCCTGAGATGTCCGCCTCTATGCACCATGGGGTTAAAGTCTTGCAAAACTGGGGTAATCTCATTGTAAGTGGTTTTAAATTCCTCAAATACAATAGCAAGATATCCACAAAGGGGCTGTCTGATCCAAACCCCATTGACGTCAATGGGAGTCTGAATCAGACCCTAAGTCATGCGAACATTACAAATTATTTTAGTATATGTATAATAAATTTAATGGACTATTGATACAGTGTCTCTACACAGTAAGATTTTTTTTATTTGCAAAACCAACCAGCAATATAGATAGTGTATAGGATTAAATCCACGCAGTGTCAAAGTTTAGAATAAAACTAGTAAATTTACAGATAAATGGTATAAATAATGACAGCGGTATGCCAATGTAAATAGACTGACCAGGAGCATTTAGCCTTGCTTTTATTACATGGTATTACCAACATAAATCTCAGCTTAAATTCCTCTCTTGAATAATCAATACACAATACAGTCCAATAATACTAGCTAATACGGCAAAGAATCTTCATAAAGGTTTCTCAAAAGCCTCTTGGACAAATTGTCCCATTTGCTGTATGCATCAGTTTGCTTCAATTTAATGTACTTACCTCAGTTGCTCCTTGTTTCGCAGAAGAATTAATGGTTACTGGAGTTCAGTAGTTTTGTGCCCTTGCTAGTCATCACTGTGCTGTAGACAGGGCTCATCCTTCTGGGTTTCTTCCGGGTCCTTGAAATCCTTTCTTCCCTTTAAAACTCCAATTAAGGGCTGGTCTACACTACTGCTTAAGTCAATAAAAAGAAAAGGAGGACTTGTGGCACCTTAGAGACTAACAGATTTATTTGAGCATAAGCTTTCGGTGAGCTACAGCTCACTTCATTGTAAGACAATGTAACTTATGTCGCTCAGGGGTGTTGTTACCAGATGTGCCCGTTACTTTGGGGTATGCTCATTTATTAGGGTTACTCTTCTGGGGTGGGGGTGTTCTGTAATTCTATTAATGTCACTTGCGTGTTCATATGGAGCTCTACTTCTTCCTTCTGCAAGTCCGCTCCCAATGGAGCTATCCTGCAGTACCTAGGTTCCCCAGGACTGGATTCCTCCAGCCCTGGAACTAGATGAATGCACGCTCGTGCACGCACACACACACACACACACACACACTAACAGAGCAAGTCTGAGCAGACCGTGTCAATCAACACTCTCAAGCTGATTCCCTCATATGTCCCTGTACTCAATGGGCTGGGTTAAGCAGCACCTTCAAGCTGTCACCCTTATGTGCCCCTGGTCTCAATAGGCTGGGCTGAGCAGCACTTTCAGCTGCCCCTCCCCCTTAATGTGCCACAGATTTAACACGTCCCTATCCCACTTTCACATCACAATTGTACTGGTAATAACCCACTTGATGAGCAAGCCCCACAGTATTTGAATGTTATAATTCTTGACGTCTGATTTGTGTCCATTTATTCTTTTGCGAAGAAAGTGTCCAGTTTGGCTAATGTACATGGCAGAGGGGCATTGCTGGCACATGATGCCATATATCACATTGGTAGATGTGGAGGTGAATGAGCCCCTGATGGTGTAGCTGATGTGGTTAGGTCCTATGATGGTGTCCCTTGAATAGATATGTGGACAGAGTTGGCAACTGGGTTTGTTGCAGGGATAGGTTCCTGGGTTAGTGTTTTTGTTGTGTGGTGTGTAGATGCTGATGAGTATTTGCTTCAGGTTGGAGATCTGTCTGTAACTAAGGACTGGCCTGTCTCCCAAGGTCTGTGAGACTAAGGGATCATCCGTCAGGATAGGTTGTAGATCCTTGATGATGCGCTGGAGAGGTTTTAGTTGGGGGCTGAAGGTGACGTCTAGTGGCGTTCTGTTACTTTCGTTGTTGGGCCTGTCCTGTAGTAGGTGACTTCTGAGTACCCTTCTGGCTCTGTCAGTCTGTTTCTTCACTTCAGCTGGTGGGTATGGTAATTTTAAGAAAGCTTGATAGAGATCCTGTAGGTGTTTATCTCTGTCTCAGGGATTAGAGCAAATGTGATTGTATCTTAGAGCTTGGCTGTAGATAATGGATCGTTTGATGTGGTCTGGATGAAAGCTGGAGGCATGTAGGTAGGTATAGCAGTCAGTAGGTTTCCTGTATAGGGCGGTGTTTATGTGACCTTCACTTATTTGCACTGTAGTGTCCAGGAAGTGGATCTCTTGTGTGGATTGGTCCAGGCTGAGGTTGATGGTGGGGTGGAAATTGTTGAAATCCTGGTGGAAGTCCTCAAGGGCTTCTTTCCCATGGGTCCAGATGATGAAGATGTCATCAATGCAGCACAAGTAAAGTAGGGGTGTTAGGGGACGAGAGCTGAGGAAGCATTGTTCTAAGTCAAACATAAAAATGTTGGCATACTGTACAGCCATGCAAGTACCCATAGCAGTGACGCTGACTTGAAGGTATACATTGTCCCCAGATCTGAAATAGTTGTGGGTGAGGACAAAGTCACAAAGTTCAGCCAAAAGGTTTGCCGTGATATTATTGGGGATACTGTTCCTGACGGCTTGTAGTCCATCTTTGTGTGGAATGTTGGTGTAGAGGGCTTCTACATCCTACTGTTACTCACACCTTCTTGTTAAGTGTTTGAAATGAACCACCCTGATTACCACTACAAAAGTGATTTTTCATCCTGTTGATAATAGCCCACGTTAACTGATTTGTCTCGACCCCCCCACTGGGTAAGGCACTCCCATCTTTTCATGTACTGTTCTATATATCTTCCTACTGTATTTTCCACACCATGCATCTGATGAAGTGGGTTTTAGCCCACGAAAGCTTATGCCCAAATAAATTTGTTAGTCTATAAGGTGCCACAAGTACTCCTCATTGTTTCAACAACTATGGTATGGTAGCAATTTCTGGTCACCATGAGCCTGAACTGGTTTTGTGTCAGCTACCTCTCACCTACACCCAGAAACACAAAAGTAAAATGTGTCCTTCCCCTAATACACTTTTTAATATTAAATATGTATACACATTGCATTAGCCTTATTATCCTTCATCGTACAAATTCCTGTTGATTAAAGTATTCCCATTAACTTAAATGTGACTATTCATGTGATTAAGTGTTACATAAGGATTTGCAAAACTGAGTCCATACTTTGTACATTTGGTGAGTGACAACGGTTCCGTGTAATAAGTTCTCAAACATTTAACAGAAAAATGTTGGTTCTGAGCTGCAAGACAAACTTATGAATGTCTCCCTTGTATACGTAGACTGTATCTCTGATTTTGAGAAATATACTATATCACATAGTCTTTTGAAAAGTGTATGGGATGTATCCTGAGTTACTATAAACTAGCACAGGTCCAGTGATTTCAAAGGAACTACATAGATTTACACTAGCCAATGATCTAGCCTCTATGTCTTTGGGTGCATCTACACTTTGAGCTGGGTGTGTGTGAACTCATGGAGACCTATTTGCACTAGCTCTCATTGACCAAGTATGCTAAAAGTTGAAGTAGCCAAGGCACAGATGGGTGCTTACTCGGGAGGGCCCATCACACTACCATGGCTACATTAGCTCAATGATAGCTAGCGTGAATATGGTTCCTTGAGCTTGGGTATAAGTGCAGACATATCCTTTGAGTCAAAGTTAAGGTAGTTTTAAAAATGAGTGAGGTAAATTTTTGCTGTGGTTAAATAAATATATGAACCACAAATATAATGGAATATATAAATTATCTTAAAACTAATCTATTCCATATTTTAATGCTCAAGGCTTTGTCACAGTTGTAACTTTATTATGTAGCTTGTTGGGTTATATTAATTACTGGACAACATCTCTGATAAGTTGCCAGAGACTTTTGCATAGATATGTGGACACAGTTGGCAATGGGCTTTGTTGCAAGGATAGGTTCCTGGGTTAGTGTTTTTGTTGTGGGGTGTGTGGTTGCTGGTGAGTATACTGATATACTCATCTATTCAGGGGACACCATCATAGGGCCTAATCACATTAGCCACACTATCAGAGGCTCGTTTACCTGTACATCTACCAATGTGATATATGCCATCATGTGCCAGCAATGCCCCTCTGCCATGTACATTGGCCAAACCGGATAGTCTCTATGTAAAAGAATAAATGGACACAAATCAGACGTCAAGAATTATAACATTCAAAAACCAGTCGGAGAACACTTCAATCTCCCTGGTCACTCAATTACAGACCTAAAAGTGGCAATTCTTCAATAAAAAAACTTCAAAAACAGACTCCAATGAGAGACTGCTGAATTGGAATTAATTTGCGAACTGGACACCATTAACTTAGGCTTGAATAAAGACTGGGAGTGGATGTGTCATTACACAAAGTAAAACTATTTCCCCATGTTTATTCCCCCCCCCCCCACCACTGTTCCTCACATGTTCTTGTCAACTGCTGGAAATGGCCCACCTTGATTATCACTACAAAAGGTTTTTTTTCTCTCCTGTTGGTAATAGCTCACTTATCTGATCACTCCCTTACAGTGTATATGATAACACCCATTGGTTCATGTTCTCTATATAGATAAAATCTCCTCCCTGTATTTTCCACTGCATGCATCCGATGAAGTGAGCTGTAACTCACAAAAGCTTATGCTCA